GCCAGCCTCTCGCTCACAGCCGCCCCTTCCCGGCCCTGCCGCTGCTTGTGCGCACACAGCCCTGCCTCGGCAAATCCTGGTCGCCGGCCAACACGCCCCCCTCGAGGCGGTGCGGGTGCCTTTGTTTCAGGGTCTCCCTCACCACGCTCCCAGAAGCGTCTGTGGCTACCCTTATCTGTAGGCAGCACGACAGAGGGGGCCAGGCCACTTCCTGCACCCACCCAGGGGCAGCCTGCGGCCGGAGCTCCCGCCCCTGCTGCGCACTCCGGGGACGGGCTCCTGCTCCGCTGTATCTTATCAGAAACAGCTAAACGGCACAGGGATGCAGGCCGACCAAGAAGTGCCTGCCAGTGAACCGTGTCAACGGACTGGTCATGCTTTTCAAAAGTTTACAGGACTCCTTGCCTGCTGTTTTGGTACTAGATGAGCTCAGTTTTGAAAAACTTGCATCAAAAGCTTCTGCTTACCAGTAGAGAGTAGCAACAGCCCAATTTTACTGCCCAGGAATCAAATTACCAGCAGAGACAGAAGACTGAGGATTTGCTTCAGAAGTAAAGGAGCATATAAAAGGGCACAATGCTATGATAAGTAATAAAACTTTGCTACCCAAATTTATTTTTCACTCATTTCTCACAGGGTGATTTTAGACAAAATAAACTACACAAATTAAAACTCAAAGAAGGAAAAAAAAAGCTCCAAGAAGAGTTGAGGACTGACTCACTTGGGAACTTATTCAAAACAGAGGCGTTAATGACCGTTGACTAAGTATCATTATTGCCGAGAGGACTTGTTGATAACAGAGACTTGCCTGTGAAGAATGTGTCCCTTGAACTGTCCCAGTTCATCACATGTGCCTCTTCCTGAGCTCCGATTCACCCCAGGTCTGAAACTCAACATACCCATTGTTTCTGATCTCACAAGGGCTCATTCTGTTTCCAAGGACAAATGGCTTCATTACCAGAGGGCTTTGCTCTAACAGCTCAAACCTCCTTCAGAGAGGCCTGAACCCTGAAATGGGCTGTGGTGCTCCTCGAAGCCCCATTTTCTGCCTCCCTCTAAGGTCAGAAAGAATCGCAGCTTACATCCGACATCTGAGCACATGGCTCTGTTCTGAGTGATTAAATCTTATTAACCAAGGTCATGTCAACTCCCTAAGAACTGCAAAGAGCCCCCTGGCATGTGGGCAGTGGGTGGGCAGCGGGTGGGCAGCGGGTGGGCAGGGAGTTATGGAAGAGGGAGGGAAGGGTCAGGAGAGAAGGAAGTAGGTGTCAAAGCTTCTCCACCATGTGGACCACATTCTAGTGAGAGGTGATTACCTCCCTTATAAAACACAGCATATTTAAAAACCCTCACATCACTGTGCTTATACTAGATGCAGTTCCTGGAAATTAGCTAGAGTACAACTGTGTGTGTGTGTGTGTGTCCCCACCACGGACGGGCCACATGGCTCTCAGAGCCTCAGAGTGATCAGCTTGCAGCTTCCTCATGTACCATATGGAGACAGGCACGGTACCTGCCTCACAAGATTATTGTGAGAAAGAAGTAAGAAGCTGTGAAGCACCTCACGCAGGGCCTGGCATAGTAAGTGCTCAGTAAACATCAATTCCTTTCCCTTACAAGCTTTTCCCCTAACGTGGGTGACCCTGGTCAGACAACGGTTTGACTCACGGAAGTGCTCGGTGGGTAACAGAAACCTGGCCATTAAGAAGCAGAGAAAGGTTAAGCACAGGCTAGTTAGAGAGGGATGAGGTCACTGGTGTCTGAGCTTCCCTGGTGGGCTTTGAGGGTGAGGTCCTGGTCTTACTTCCTGTTTGCCTACATCCTAGCACAGCTGAGAAGCTCAGCTGGGGAAAATAAATTAGTGTTAGGCCAGAAGCATAACCTACTCCCACTCACTCGTTCTCACTGCACCCCACCTCAGTATTACCAAATAGAAATGCCTTTTGAGTTGAAAGTTACTGATATAAAAAGCTTTGGAGGAAGACAGTTTATAAGGAAAGCCGTCATTCTGAATGGGAACAACAAAAAAGCCAGGATGACTCCGAGGAGGACCCACACCCCCAACCCAGAAGCTATGCCCACTCACCAGACTCACAGACACTTTCAGTCCACCGGTGGAGAGCCCGCCTGTTAGGAGAAAATGAGGCTCTACAAAATATTCCAATTTGATTAGAAAGCCAAGTTACCGATGTGCTGAGCTGATCTGGATTCCTGCCCCTCTACTGGATCTTAATGAGTGTGCCAAGTGTCTACTGTCCTGGTCAGCCAGCTCAGCTCTGAGTCAGGGATAAAATAGGCTGCAACCTCTGAAGGGAAAGGATGTGAAACTTGGAGAAGGGAAGATGCCACATTCAGGATTAGCCAAGTGGTCCATGCCAAATTTAAGGCAGGATTATTTAGGGACCCATTTGCTTCAATTTAGAAGATAAAGTTCCCTGTCCACCTGTGCTAAAACAACCCCCTCAAAACGGCACCAAATTCTCCCATCCACACCAGCGTGGCTGCAATGAGGCCTTCGTTCTTTTGTTTGGAACAGGGAGCTATGATGCTTTGGTCTCACCAGCAAGTCTGCCTATTAGTACTAGAAGAGGAATCGCCACGATATGCAAGGCTGAATGACAAAAGCTGACTTTCCTAAAGATCTAAGAAAAGTCCGTGGGTTGGTGGGACAGGGGAAAATCTAGAAATGCAGCAAGGGGCTTCTATCAGTGCTCTGTGGTCTGTGCAGCACCCCAGTTTGGCCATGTCACATATGCAGGGAAAGGCACCTGCTGAGGTTACATCCACATCAAAGGGGAAAGAGAGCCTAGGCACAGATCGCGTTCACCCAGGGATTCAGCTCCGAGCTCCTCAGCACTGCTTCCACTGCTGTTCACAGTAATTCCTCCTTCTCCAGAGATCACCAAAGACCAGGCCCTCTTCTCTCCACTAAATACATTTCTGCTCCAAGATACCTGGCTTCACTACCACATCCTTGACGGTTGTGGATAATCTGGACAGCCTCTGACTTTCAGAAAATGATGCTATGATTGTCACAAAGGTCCACAGAGTAAAGCCTCTTAGGGACTCCTGCAGAAACCTAGAGGAAGACCACAGTCAGAGTACAGGAGGACTGATACATTTGGGGTCCGTGGGGGTCCTCATACACAGTTCTCCACAGAGCTCTAATGCTGAAAAGACGGGGGAGGTGAGAGCAGAGCTGAACGGGGCTTGTAACTTCCATCACAGGGTCCTTCTCTTGACTGCTTCCTGCTGTCAGTGAGAAGGGAAGAAAGTGCACATGAGGCAGAACTGTCCAGGGCCAGATGGCTAGGAGCTTACTGGAACAGAAACCTGGGTGCGAAGTTCAAGTCTTCTAGAAAGGCAGAGGCAGACGGAACTGACTTCAGTCTAAGCTGCACCAAAAGCCCACACTCTCCCTTACAGCAGCAGCAGAGCCCGAGAATGAGGCCATGCAAACCAAGTTTTGAGGAATATCACCTCCTCCCTCACTCTGGTTCTGTTTTTCAACTTCATTATGAACATCTGCAAGCACAGGTACGAGGTGGAGAGAATAGACAGTGAACACCCAGGCTGAACATGGGTTAACATGTTGCCGTATCTGTTCCATCCATCTACTCACAACCATCACGCTCACGCTCAGACATTTTTTTCTGGGCCGGTTGAAAATGAGTCACAGATGTCGACATCTCACCCCTAAATAGTTTGCATACACCTCCTAAAAATGAGGACATTCTCCTACATCGCCACAATAAAATTAACACACCCAAGAAAACTGACAATAATTCCCTTATATCCAAAGCCCAGTCCACACTCAGATTTCCCTACCCTGTCCCAAGTTTTATAGCTGTGTTTTTAAAAACATGACTCAACCAAGGCCCATGCTTGCATTTAGTTATGTGTCTTTAGTCTCTTTTAGTCAAAAATAGTCCTTCCAATCCTACCCTGCCCTGCCCGTATTTTTTCCCCTTGTAGTTGACTTTTTTTGAAGACGCCAGACCAGTGGTCTTACAGGATACCCAACGATCTGATTTGTCTATTTCCTCATGGTGCCATTTAAACTCGTTCTCTATCCTATTATAGAGAAACTGGAGGTTAAATCTAAAGGCTAGTTTACATGCAGCATAAACATTTTTGGTGAGAATCCTTTGTAGGTAATGCCGTGTAATTCCTACTGAATCACAGCTGGAATATGA